AAGCTTAGAACTAACATTGTTTTTGTTTAAATTGTTCCATGGCAATGCTATAGTTTTCTGTTTCTGACCTAGGGCCTTTCAACACAGTCATACAGCCCAGAATATCAATTTATTTGTTTACAAGAAAGGAGATTCCATCTGGACATTAGGAAGAACTTCCTGACTGTGAGAGCCATTCAGCAGTGGAACTCTCTGCCTCAGAGTGTGGTAGAGGCTCCTTCTTTGGAGCTTTTAAACAGAGGCTGGATGGCCATCTGTCAGGGGTGCTTTGAATGCAATTTTCCTGGTTCTTGGCAGGGGGTTGGACTGGATGGCCCATGAGGTCTCTTCCAACTCTATGATTCTATGATTTATTTATGACATTTATATGCCGCCCCTCTCAGAGCGGCTTACAAGATTGATATGCATACAATATATTATATTATTTGCATAGTACAATATCAGAATTATATATTACTATATTGTACTATACCATTACATTGTAATCTTATTAGTAATATTACATGTAATATAAAATATATAATTATAATATATTATTATTAAGGTAAAGGTAAAGGTTTTCCCCTGACATGAAGTCCAGTTGTGTCCGACTCTGGGGTGTGGTGCTCATCTCCATTTCTAAGCCAAAGAGCCAGCGTTGTCCACTGACACCACTAAGGTCATGTGGCCAGCATGACTGTGTGGAGCACGGTTACCTTCCTGCGGGAGCGGTACCTACTCACATTTGCATGTTTTCAAACTGCTAGGTTGGCAGCAGCTGGGGCTGATGGCGGAAGCTCTCGCCGCCCCCCCCCCCCCCGATTCGAACTTGAAACCTTTTGATCAACAAGCTCAGCAGTCCAGCACTTTAATCCACTGCGCCACCGGAGGCTCTCATATTATTATTATATTGTATAATAATAATAATATATTATAAATAATATATTATATATTATAAATATTATAAATATTATATGTATATACAATATATTATATTACATCAGGGGTCGTCAAACTTTTTAAACAGAGGGCCAGGTCACAGTCCCTCAAACTGTTGGAGGGCCGGATTATAGTTGGAAAAAAATGAATGAATTCCTATGCACACTGCCCCCGGGCCATAGCTTGAGGACTCCTGTATTACATTATATTATATAGGGTTCTGGCCCAGCTTACTTGTCTGAACGCATCTCCCACTACATCCTGCTCTCGCTCCCGCCAGCATCACAAATACGTCAGGCGGGGACGAGAAACAGTGCCTTCTCGGCTGTAGCCCCCCACCTGTGGAATTTGCTTCCCAACGAGCTAAGATTGGCTTCATCCCTCCTGTCTTTTAGGAAGAAATTGAAGTCGTGGTTCTGGGACCAGGCTTTTGGACAGCAGGCATAAATAGCTCTTTGGATATGGAATTTAACTGGAATGGTGATACGGCGGTTAATACTGTTTTTAATTGTATTAATTAATGTTTTATTTATTGTTTTAATTGTTGTTATATTGCTTTGTTATATTTAATGGCATCAAATTGTGCCAAATGTAAGCCGTCCCGAGTTGAGAAAGACGGGGTAGAAATGCTGGACTTAAATCAATCTATATAAATAAAAATGTAATGTTTTAACTCAAAAACCACTGGACGAATTGCCGCCAAATTTGGCCACAAGACAACTACTAACCCAAGGAGTGACCATCACTCAAAACATAAATAAAAATGTAATGACCTCATACCTCTGAGGATGCTTGCCATAGATGCAGGCGAAACGTCAGGAGAAATGCCTCTAGAACATGGCTCTATAGCCCGAAAAAACCCACAAGAACCTAATGTAATGTTAATTTGTAGGATTAACAGAACTTAAAAACCGCTGGACGAATTGACCCCAAATTTGGACACAAGACACCTAACAACCTAATGTATGTCCTTCACTCAAAGAAATTGATTTTGTAGTTGTAGTTGCTGGTTTTTATAATTAACCTACAATCAAAGAACATTCTGAACCTCATCAACAATGAAATTGAACCTAACTTGGCACACAGTTCTCCCATGACCAACAGAAATTACTGGAAGGGTTTGGTGGGTAGTGCCCTTTGGTTTTGGAGCTGTAGTTCACCTACATCCAGAGATGACGCTGGACCACGATGGAACTGGACCAAACTCTACACGAATACTCAATATGCCAAAATGTGGACACTGGTGGAGTTTGGGGGAAATAGAATCTTGACATTTGGGAGTTGTAGTTGCTGGGATTTATAGTTCACCAACAGTCAAAGAGCATTCTGAACCCCACTAACGATGGAATTGAACCAAACTTGGCACACAGTTTTCCCATGACCAACGACAGAATTGGGCCAAACCTCCCACACAGAACCCCCATGTGGGCCACAGCAACCCATTTAATCAGTCATTTCCAGCATTTTTAAATCTTTAATCATTACATTTTGCCCGGCCTCAGTTTTAAATGCGTCGTGGTGTTATTGTCTAATGTTTATTGCTATTGTTTTAATGTTTATTGTTTTGCTTTATGAGTATTTATTGTTGTATTGCTATGCTGTTGTTTTATTGATGTGTTGGGCCTTGGCCTCTTGTAAGGGAGATGTTAGCGGGATATAAATAAAGGTTAATAATAATAATAATAATAATTAATAACGCGTGGCAGAGGATGGCTAGTAAATAATAAAATATTATATTATATTATATAAAAATACTATATTATTTTATATAAATATTATATATAATATTAATTAAAACTTGTGCGCCAGTTGCGCCCATACCTTGGGAAGTCTGGTCTGGCCACAGTGGTCCACACTCTTGTTACATCCCGAATAGATTACTGCAACGCACTCTACGTGGGGTTGCCTTTGAAGACTGTTCGGAAACTTCAATTAGTCCAGCGGGCGGCAGCTAAATTACTCACCGGAGCATCATACAGGGAGCATACCACCCCTCTGTTATGTCAGCTCCACTGGCTGCCGATCCAATTCCGAACACAATTCAAAGTGCTGGTTTTGACCTACAAAACCCTATACGGTTCTGTCCCAGTGTATCTGTCCGAACGCATCTCCTTCTATGTTCCGCCTCGGAGTTTAAGATCTTCTGGGGAGGCCCTGCTCTCAGCCCCACCTCTATCACAAGTGAGATTGGTGGGGACGAGGAGCAGGGCCTTCTCGGTGGTGGCCCCTCACCTGTGGAACTCACTTCCCGGGGAAATTAGGTCATCGACATCCCTCCTCTCCTTTAGAAGGAAATTAAAAACCTGGATTTGGGACCAGGCCTTCGGGTAATCTGGCGGATAGATAAGGCATAAGTGACGACCAGAATTGTTGGATTGGACAATGTGGAAATGAATTTATGGATTGTGAGATGATAAACGTTGAGCACTAGATTGTTTTTAAGGATTGTGATATATAATGGATTGTTTTAATTGTCTTAACTGCCTAATTGTTTAATTACTGTTTATATGTTTCATTCTTTTACCTTGTTGTTGTGCCGGTATTGAATTGTGCCTTTTTGTAAGCCGCCCTGAGTCCCCCCTTGGGGGTTGAGAAGGGTGGGGTAGAAGTGCGAGAAATAAATATTTATTTATTTGTATTTATTTGCTTTATTTCTATACCGCATTTTTCAGCCTAATTAGGCGACTCAATGCGGTTTACACAATACAAGTTATCACAACAATATCCTAAGCGATTAAAACACATCATATACAGCAGACAAAATCAAACAATCATTATCATATCATAACGCCTCAATAACAAATCAGAATCCGTTCTCATAATCCTTGTGCCATTTCCTATGTTCAATTTTACCGTCTTCCTGTGTTCAGTTGCACTGCTTAGCCGAACGCTTGTTCGTAGAGCCAGGTCTTAACCTTCCTCCGGAACGCCAGCAGCGAAGGGGCCTGTCTGATGTCTACAGGTAAGGCATTCCATAGCCGAGGGGCCACCACCGAGAAGGCCCTGTCCCTCGTCCCCGCCAACCGTGCCTGTGACGCAGGCGGGACCAACAGCAGGGCCTCCCCGGACGATCTTAATGTCCTGGTCGGTTCATAGTTGGAGATGCGTTCGGAGAGGTAAGAAGGGCCAGAACCATTTAGGGCTTTATAGGCTAACGCCAGCACCTTGAATTGTGCCCAGTAGCAAATTGGCAGCCAGTGGAGCTGGCTCAACAGAGGAGTGGTATGCTCCCTGAGTGCCGCTCCTGTTAACAACCTGGCTGCCGAGCGCTGGACCATCTGAAGCTTCCGGGCAGTCTTCAAGGGCAACCCCACGTAGAGCGCGTTGCAGTAATCTATACGGGATGTAACCAGAGCGTGGACTACCGTGGCCAAGTCAGACTTCCCAAGGTATGGGTGCAGCTGGCGCACAAGTTTTAATTGTGCAAATGCTCCCCTGGAAACCGCCGAGACCTGGGGTTCCAGGCTTAGCGAAGAATCCAGGGTCACACCCAAGCTGCGAACCTGCGTCTTCAGGGGGAGTGTGACCCCGTCTAACACAGGCTGTAACCCTATACCCTGTTCGGCCTTTTGACTGACCAGGAGTGCCTCTGTCTTGTCTGGATTCAGTTTCAATTTGTTAGCCCTCATCCAGTCCGATACAGCGGCCAAGCACCGGTTCAGGACCTGAACAGCCTCCTTAGTAGTAGGTGGGAAGGTGGTAATAATAGGTGGGAATAATATAATACTATATTATTAGCATAGACCAGGAGACAAGATGGAACTGTCCCCTGGCTCATCCTCTTCACTCTTCAAGACAGATAATCCACAATATCGTCTTGGAACTGGGTTAAACTGAGTCCACACTGTCATATATTCCAGTTCAATGTGGATTTTATACAGCTGTGTGGAAGGGGCCCTAGGCATCTGTGAGAGCTGAGGGAGGAGATGCTGCTCACTGGGAATAACTTTGAAAGCTTGGGAAGACAAAGCCTCAGAGCAACAGCTGTAGAATCCCCTCACCTTTAAAGGGGTCCCTAAAGCCCAGGAGAGTGGGGAAGTGGGACAGAAAAGGGTCAAAGGAAGGAAAGACGCCTGCCTTACCTGGGACGCCACTGCCCCCCGCGAGGCCGCGCAGGCGCAGGAAAGCGAGCGCGAGGCACAAGTGCCACGCCAAGTGAGCGCTGCTGCTGCTGCTCCCCATGATGCTGGAGGCGAGGATGCGGAGGAGCCGGGGAAGTTGGCGTGCTGCTCGCGCTGCTGCTGCTCCTGCTTCTGAGATGCGGAGACGCGCTCCGGGCTGGCGAAACTGACGCGCGGGCAGCCCCCCGCTGATTGGCAGAGGGCCCCGCGGGGTGGGCGGGACCCGGGAGCGGAGTGCCAATGGCGCAAAGGGAGGGGGGCGGGGGGAGCCGATGGAGGGAGTCCTCTCCGGCTGAAAAGGGGGCGCGAGGGAAGGTGAGGGAAGCGCGCGCGCCGCTTGAGGTCTTGCCTGAGGCGCGCGAGCACCTCCCTCCACTTTCTCAAAGTCAACGCGCACTTTTCTCTCAATATTAAACACATCCACATCCATATCTTATTTATATAAATAGAAATGTCATGTTCGTTTGTGGGATTCACAGAACTCAAAAACCACTGGGCGAATTGGCACCAAATTTGGACACAAGACACCTAACAACCCAATGTATGTATTGTCGAAGGCTTTCATGGCTGGAATCACTAGGTTCTTGTGGTTTTTTTCGGGCTATAGGGCCATGTTCTAAGGCATTTCTCCTGACGTTTCGCCTACATCTATGTCAAGCATCCTCAGAGGTAGTGAGGTCTTGTTGGAATTAGGACAATGGGTTTATATATCTGTGGAATGGCTGGGGTGGGGCAAAGAGCTCTTCCCTGCCGGAGCTAGGTGTGAATGTTTCAACTGACCACCTTCATTAGCATTTGAAGGCCTGGCTGAGCCTGGGAAAATCTTTTGTTGAGAGGTGCTAAGATGTGCCTGGTTGTGAGAGTGGTCCAGCATTTTTGTGTTCTCAAATAAAATGCTGTGTCCAGGTTGGTTCATCAGGTGCTCTGCTATGGCTGACTTCTCTGGTTGAAAGGCAGTGCCTTTCAACCAGAGAAGTCAGGCATAGCAGAGCACCTGATGAACCAACCTGGACACAGCATTTTATTTGAGAACACAAAAATGCTGGACCACTCTCACAACCACCATGTCAGACTACACAGAGAAGCCATTGAAATCCACAAACATGTGGACAATTTCAACAGAAAGGAAGAAGACCATGAAAATGAACAAAATCTGGCTACCAGTATTAAAAAATTCTAAAATTAAAACGGCAGAGAGAAAAACAGGCAGGGACATCTAATCACCTTTCAAGAAGAGTTTGCTCCAGGCACAGTCAGCCCATTGTATGCTAATCAAGGTTGTCAGTTGAAAGATTCACACCTAGCCCAACTTACAAAAGCCTTTGTCTCACCCTGGTCATTCCACAGATATATAAACCCCTTTTTCCCAGCTCCAGCAGACCTCTGAGGAAGCTTGCCATAGATGCAGGCGAAACGTCAGGAGAAATGCCTCTAGAACATGGCCATATAGCCCGAAAAAACCCACAAGAACTGAGTCTGTTACCAGTATTTTTAAAAACCCTCTAAAATTATAACAGCTGTGCTGTTGCACGCTGGGCCTGTGCATCAGACTGTAGACAGGACATAAATTCTGTGTGCCCAATGGGACGCCAGGGCTGCCTCAAATTAAAAGCCTTTGGATTTCCTTAAAACAGAGTCTTTAGATTGCTTAAAGGTTCAACAAAGTTCTTTATTAATGAAAACAAACAGGTGCTTTAAGGCTTTCTTAACAGTCTATTGGCTCTCTCTCAATCTTGTCCACAGGGAACAGGCACTAACTTCATAACTGTAACTAATGGGGAAATCCTTAACTTCTAATCTGGGCAGTCTGTCTTTGCCTCTGTTGGCGTGGAGCCCCTGCACCCGGTACGAACTGCTTCTGGCTTCCGTGAGTGACCCTTACCAAGCAGAGCTTTGTAGACTTCCAGGGAAAAAAGAAGGAATTCAGGCTTCAGTGATGGCTGACTGAAGTCCCTCAGCGAAGGAGCTGTAAGACTGTATAATCCTCAGCCAAGCTATGGGATCTTTCTCCCCAGCCAAGCTGTAGAAGATGAAGCTTTCTACAGGAGCTCTTGGTATTATGTCCTGCATGGAAAGCTTCTCTGTGTGGACTGACCCAAAAAAGACTCCTATTCCCTCCAAAAACCCAAAAAGGGGGCGGACCAGGGAACCTAACTATAATTGACAGGTGGCTTGCCCTATGATTGCAGCCAAAAGAAGCCACCTATCTGCAGAGTCCCTGAAACTTAGGACTACAACAAACATTAAATGCAAAGCAAACAAAATTGGAGCTCCTGGTGCAGCTGTACCTGCACAACAGCAAATAAAGAACAACACTCAAACACAGGGGAACTCCAGACTAGAAACAATCAGGGACAGCTAATCACTTTTCAACAAAGGATTCCCCCAGGCAGTAAACAAGCTACACCTAAAAACAGCCAGGCCATCAGATGCTGATCAATGTAGCCAGTTCTGTTATTCACACCTAGCTCCAACAGACAAGAGTTCTTTCTCCCACCCTGGACTTTCCACGGATATATAAACCCAATTTTCCTAATTTCCAACAGACCTCAAAATCTCCGAGGATGCCTGCCATAGATGCAGGCAACATGTCAGGAGAGAAGGCTTCTAGAACATGGCCATACAGCCTGAAAAACCTACAACAGCCCATTCAGCCTCTGTTTAAAAGCTTCCAAGCAAAGCGCATCCACCACCCTTCGAAGCAGAAAGTTCCACTGGGGAACAGCTCTCATAGAAAGTAATAGAATAATTGAGTTGAAAGACCCACATGGGCCATCGAGTCCAACCCCTGCCATTCAGGAAAAGCACAATCAAATCACCCCTGACAGATGGTCATCCAGCCACTATTTAAACATTTCCAAGAAAGGGGCTTCCACTACACAACGAGGCAGAGACTTCCACTGTTGAACACCTCCTACGGTGAGGGCATTCTTCCTAAGGTTCAGGTGGAATCTCCTTTCCTGGGTATTTCAACCCATTGTCCGAGTCCTAATTTCAAGGGCAGCAGAAAACAAGCCTGCTCCCTCTTCCTTATGATACCCTTTCACATATTTATACATGGCTACCATGTCTTCTCTCAACCTTCTCTTCTGCAGGCTAAACATACCCATCTCTTTAAGACACTCCTCATAGGGATTCATGGCCTCCAGACCTTCTATCATTTTAGCTGTCCTCCTCTGGGTGCATTCCAGTTTGCCAATATCTCTTCCAAACTGGTGCCCAGAATTGGAAACAGTATTCCAGGTGAGGTGTGACCAAAGCAGAATAGAGGGACACCATGATTTCCCTCAATCTAGACCATGCATCCTCAAATTGCAGACCTCCAGGTATTAGGGCCTCCAACTTCCAGAAGCCCGAATGAGCTTGTTCAATTGTCAGGAATTCTGGGAGTTGAAGGCCCAAACTGCTGGAGGGCTGCAGTTTGAGGATGCTTGATCTAGACACTAGACTCCTTTGGATGCAAAATTCCACTGTCTTTTTAGCTGCTGCATCACACTGTTGGATCATGTTCAACTTGTTGTCCATGAAGACTCCAAAATCTTTTTCACATGGACTGTTGTCAAGCCAGGCATTAACCATTCAGTACCTTTGCATTTCATTTTTTCTGCCTGAGTGTAGTATCTTGCACTTATCCTTGTTTAAGTTCATTTTGTTATTTTTGGCCCAGCTCTCTAATCTGTTAAGGTCATATTGAATTCTGATCAGGTTCTCTGGAGTATTAGCTATCTCTCCTAATACTCTGCAAACTTGGTAAACATGTCCTCTAAACCTTCATCTAAGTCATTAGTAAAGATGTTAAACAGTAATGGGCCCAGGATCGAAGCCTGCGACACTCCACTTGTCACTTCTTTCCGGGATGAAAAGGAACCCTTTGAGTTTAGTCACTTAACAGCCATATAATCCAAAATGATCAAAGCAGAAAATCCATATTATCTGCTTTGAACTGCATTATATGAGTTTAGCCTGCCATAGTAAAAGGTAAAGGTAAAGGTTTTCCCCTGACATTAAGTCCAATCATGCCCGACTCTGGGGGTTGGTGCTCATCTCCATTTCTAAGCCGAAGAGCCGGCGTTGTCCATAGAGACCTCCAAGGTCATGTGGCTGGCATGACTGCATGGAAAACCGTTACCTTCCCGCCAGAGCAGTACCTATTGATCAACCACAATTGCATGTTTTCAAACTGCCAGGTTGGCAGAAGCTGGGGCTAACAGCGGGAGCTCACCCCGCTCCTCGGATTCGAACCTGCGACCTTTCGATCAGCGAGTTCAGCAGCTCAGCACTTTGACCCACTGGGCTAAACAGTTAATTCAGATTTTATGTGACAGTGTAAAAGGGGCCATTGCAACTGATGCAACACACGCTGTCTGGTTACTTAGGGCAAAACATTGGGGAAAGAAGTACCCACTGCACTTTGCATTCCTTGGCCTCAAAAAAGCAATTGATCGGGTTCCCCATGACCTGATCTGGTGAGCACTATGGTCACACAAAATACCAGAAGTTTATGATAAATCTACTATATAATAATACAAGTCTGGGCCACTTGTATTATTGCAACAGACCATTGCAACAGACTGGGCCACAGCAACGCGTGGCAGGGGACAGCTAGTATCTTATAAGAGTCTCAACCAATTCAACATAGTTTGTGGCAGCCACAAAAATCAAGTTTCTGGAGTATAACAACTATTTTCAAAGTAAGTGTCACACAATTAAACAGGAAATGATACTTTGAAACCAGGAACAGAAAATGTTTAACATTTTGTTACATAGTGTAATAGTGTGGTGAAACCAAATTCGCATCATCAAACCACAGTATTTTTGTTATGATTCAAAGTTTCTTTGTCCTGATTCAAAGTTTCTTACATGAAGGACAACCTGGGGGGTTGCGAAGGGATGTTAGAGAGGTCGTGAAAGACCTCAGAAAACACAGTATTTTCTGTTGGTAAAGGGAGTACTGCGTGGGAAGTTTGGCTCAATTCTATCATTGGTAGGGTTCTGAATGCTCTTTGGTTGTAGGTGAACTATAAATCCCAGCAACTACAACTTTCAAATGTCAAGGTCTATTTTCCCCTAACACCACCAGTGTTCACATTTGGGCACATTGAGTATCCGTGTGAAGTCTGGTCCAGATCCATGATTGTTTGAATCTACA